TTACATATATTTTACTTTTCGGTTCGTTAATCGATTTATCAATTATTCGAATGAAAATCGGCCATCCCTTGATGAATGTGAAACGTCATTTCAAATATAAGGACCGTACATAAATAATGATACAATTTAAAAGGGACCGGGGCTAATCACAAATTACGTCCCCACGGTAACTGAAATAAACACGATTGTTCACCGGTTGGTCAAGCTGTGTGGTTTTCTTTGAATAAACTTTGAAATATAAAAAGTTAGTTCAGAAAAGAGCCAAGTTATAAGTAAAATTGAGCTAAAAACCACTGATTAACTTTCATGTATTGAAAAATAACCTCCCCTCTAATATTTTCACATGAAAATATTTATCAAAGCACGTAAAATTTGATCACGTTATTTGTTTAAAAAAATGGGTGCCCCAATTTGCCAATTATCCACCGGAATATCGTATGTTTTGAACACATAAACGCTCTTAACATGACGCTCAACCACCAAGGAGACGTGACCTAGGGAAATCGAGTGCAGGGGAGTTGGCCTGCATTTCTCACAAGTTCCGGATCGAATCTCAATCCATAACTAGTTAAAAAAAGGACTCACCCGTAAAGTGGACCCTACACGATTGCTTTTATTGTCAATAATCGTATTGTCAATAATCGTATTGTCAATAAATTTTATATTGACGTCAATACAGCGATATTGAAAATATTTCTGTATTCACATCATCAATATTATTGTCAATAATTCCCCTTCACGTCAATATCCCTCCCCATGGACATAGAGGTTGACGGTACTGAAGCAAAGGGTATGTTTAATTTCTTTATATTTGCAACGATGATGATTTCCTATAGTGCCACATATCACCTTCTTAATGCTTCAGTATGCCTCAAACGATTATTTCTTGGTTGTTAATAGAACTTCCTTGATGCAATCGGCTGCTTCATGCAGACTGAGCAATTCTGATTATAGTATCAGATTTGTTCTGTATACAGAGGAACTGGGAGGGCTTATTAGAAACTTCTCACCAATAAAGTAATGATCTTCTAGTAAATTTTGCATATCATTTTATTAATATTTTATTTTATTTAAGCATATTATTTTTGTTACAGTCAATTTGCATTAGCATATGATACAAGAGATTTAATATTACTTGCTCGGTTTTGCGTAAAATAATCAATATTTATTTTGCTTGTAATTACCTTTGAATTTTTTTTTGTGATTTCAAAATTTTCCTAGTTTGGTTAGAAGTTTCGAAGCTAACGCATGTCCACAGGCCTAATAGAAAGATAGACAGACAAAGTGTATCATGAAGAATGGTTGCTTCCACTCACTTGCTATAGATGAGTGATTTTCGGAGTTTTGAATTCGTTAGATGTTGTAATGGAGGTTTGAGTTGTTGGATGCGGGAGAATATTGGGGGGCGGGTGTTTGACGCATAGAGCCTGTCAGTATCGCTGAGTGTCGCAGTCAGCGGTTTTATGATTCGTGAGCGCTCGCGATTCGTAGAATCGTTGATTGTGACTGCAAGTGGATTCGGCGGGTTTTGTGTGTCGGACACTTGCTTTTTGGCCTCTTCTTGTGTCTAACATGTGCAGAGTATCATTATAGCGTCTGATGATTTTGAGATTCCTGGTTGCGTAAAATATACTTGTGAGAATATCTTTTTGAGATTTTAGTAGTCACGTTTTGTTTGTAGTTTATATGTTATTTCTTTCATGTAATTATCGTAAATAATAGTTATTCAATAATAGATAATTCATCCATACATCCAATAATAAATTTACGAATGACTTTAATTTGGATACCTAACAATTGGACAGAATCAGTAGCAAGAATAGGTTGTGTTCGCCTTCGAAAATATCGATTTGTTTTTCAGGGTTGTAGTTTTGGTTTTCATCAGTGGTCCGGCTCTGATTGCGAACGGTTTAGGTAGTATTTTTAGGTAACTATTTAGCTTTAGCACAACTTTGCTACTACGAATCCACAAAAGACATTAAATTGGAGGCGGATTCTGGTACGGAATTACAGGCTGCTATTCTGAGCAAATTATCTTCATAAAATTAAAAATTACATTTAGGTATTAAATAGCAAATATGGATAGTTAGTTAGATATATTGTGGTATGAACTTTTGCAACGTTTTTTAGTTAATTATTCTTGAACGCAGTTAAAACTAGGAGATGAGGAAGGAATATAATCATTTGGTTTGCACCAAATGCAAACACACACAGAGAGAGAGAGAGAGAGAGAGAAAACAACACACACACACACACACACACACACACACACACACACACACACACACACACACACACACACACACACACACACACACACACACACACACACACACACACACACACACACACACACACACACAGATACACAAAAACATCATGACATTCGACAAGAAAACATCCAGACATTAAAACTGACGTACGAATGAGAAGAAGACATAGACAAAGACAGACCAGCGATTACCGAGCCACAAAGATTTTCAAGAAGATTATGATTAATCAAGATCGTGAATCCGGTGTTTAATTGGTCACCATAGACTAATCCGTCCGGCATCGTAGTCACTTGAAAATTTTTCTCATCGACCCCGATCATTGCAATCCTATGGGGATAAAAAAAAAAAAAAAAAATCATCTTCACGTCAATATATTGATACGTGTGGGGTTCGCTTAACAGACATACCACCCCCTTCCCTTCCCGGGGTCGATGTTTTATTTTTTCGAAATCTTTGTAAAGTCGATAAAGTAGATCTGTCAAGCCAACACATACACTCTAAAGAACACTGTTATTCAATAAATTCGCCAACCAACAGTAAAATAACAATAATAGGGGAAATGCAGGTAATGTCGGCCGAAGTGTCCCTAATTTGGGCCCATACATAAATTTAGCAATCGACTTAATTTTCAATAGCAACCAAAAATATCCATTAGCAACGTCCCAATAGCCAAAAAAGTAAAACCAAGAATAATTTATGCATCACTAGTTTGGTGGCCAAAAACAGTGCAAAAAACAGCTCAACAAAGACTTGAAAAACTGCAGAGGTTGGCCACTACCTCCATAACTGGAGCAATGCGCAGTACTCCATCTAAAGCCTTAGAAGCTTTGCTTAATCTTCTTCCTTTACATCAATTCATTCAACTGGATGCAATGAAGAATGCTCTCAGACTCAGACGAACAAAAGAGCTCTTTGAAGGAGATCTTAAAAATCATATGAGCATCTTGAAAGAGATTCAATTAAGTCCACTAATTTTAAAGAATGAAGATTTTATGGCAAAAACTCATGAATTCAACCATCTATTTAATGTGTTTAATACAACACGCAATGATTGGGAGACTGGAGGGCCGTTGATTCGTCCTGGGTCTATAACATTCTACACGGATGGCTCAAAACAGGATAACAGGGTAGGGGCAGGAATAACAGGTCCCGGAATTAACTGTTCTGTAGCAATGGGTAAATGGCCAACAGTATTCCAAGCAGAAATATTTGCGATTCTAGAATGTGTAGAAATATGTTTAAAAAGAAATTATAGGAATGCAAACATATGCATTTTTCGGACAGTCAAGCAGCATTGAATGCCCTTAAATCAATGACCTACACTACAAGTTAGTGTGGGAATGCTATAATCAACTTCAGAAATTGTCCTGTCGTAACAAGGTAAATCTATATTGGGTTCCTGGTCATTGCGGCATTGAAGGAAATGAAAAAGCTGATCAATTAGCAAAGCTTGGCTCATCCCAGAAATTTATTGGTCCCGAACCATTTATTGGTCTATCGCCTTCTAATCTGAAAATGGAATTAAAGAACTGGGAAAAAAGCAAGGTACAATCCAATTGGAATAATACCTCAACAGCCCGACAATCTAAACAATTCATTAAGCCCAACGTTTTGAGTACGCAAAGGTTACTCAATCTTTCCAAAAAAAATTTAAGCACCTACACTGGATTAATAACAGGACATTGTCCTTGTAAATATCATTTTAAAAAAATTGGAAAGCTTAGCGACGATAGATGTCGCTTTTGTTATTTGGAGAGCGAAAGCTCTGAACATTTATTGTGTGATTGCACTGCTTTATTTAATAAACGATGCAGATTTCTTGATAAAGGACTCACCGTACGTGAAGAAATTTGGACCAGTAAACCCAATAAAGTTGTAAACTTCATTCGAAGTGCAATTCCATATTGGGATAATGCCGATGATCAATGATGAAGATCACTCTACATAGTGGTTGATCATCAAAACACACGGCAAATAGTAAAAAGAGGATACACCACAATAGATCAAAACACTGGTCGCAGTGGTAAATGTCCACGACACGGAAAAAAAAACGTCCCAATACCATGGAGGTAACTCTAAGACTAGAAGGTCCCGAAATGATGTGTTCAACTTTTTGGCTCAGCTCTGGTACTCTCTTCGGTCCCAAGCTAATCGATTCACCCCTCGAAACATAGGAAAAACCAATAACCCCTCATTTTATCTGTCAAACTTTCATAGCGAATCAAAACAAACATTTCGTAGTACTAGAATTTCGACTAGAATGGGATACGTTAATCGTTTGCTTGGGACCAATAGGCTAGTCAAGTAGTGAACCAATTTAAAATCGTTAGTTTCGTATTGATTGTTGCCAATACCGCGTTCATCTAGATAAAATTGATAAATAGCAAATTTTTAGCGATGGGCCCAATCTTAGATCCATAGGCCAACATTTCTCCTATATAATGTTATTGAAAAAAATTATATGGTGAAATCTCGAAAATTTCATTGTTAAGATACCCCCCTTTTTCCATTTACAAAGAAATTTACAGTACAACATAAATCAAGGTAAATTTATTGTAGACGCAACAATATAAATCATTGTTAGGACAATAATTTTCGTCTTATTGTTTCATTGTTTTTTAATGTATTTTTGTTGTTATTTTTTTCGGGTAAACTCTCGCCTAAACATAAACGAAAATAATTTCCAGATTTAAAGAGTACTAAATTATCCATCGTTTTGCTTTCCAGGTGTGTAACAAATCATTTGCTCGGGTGGGTGACCGGAACGTTCACACGCGTACACATTCGGACGAGAAACCACACCAATGCTCTTTCTGCGGAAGGGGCTTCAACTTGGCCAAGGCACTTCGGGCTCATGTGCGGAAACATACGGGAGAAAGGCCATTCGTGTGCATCATTTGCAATGCCGGCTTCACCTGTCACAAAACTCTTGCTTGTAGGTATCTATGAAGTGCGGTCTTGGTTACGGTAGTATTTATATATTGCAACACGAACTTTTTTCATCTTTGGTACAGCTCACACCCGGAGGCAACACGCGGAAAATCCACAGGTTCTCGGAAAGGTAGACGAGTTAACACAGACGGTGTTGTTTGCAACTTCATCTGCTGTGGTAGGAGATGGGGCCTCAACGATGGTAACTAAATCGGAGACTTGTTAAAATGGTTAAATTACATGCGCGAAACTATAATGACATACACAAGGGATATGTTTTTATCCGAACGACCCTTGGAGAACAGGTCTATAAAACTATTGATTGTGAGTTTCATATTTAATAATTCACTAGAAAATTTTCATTCGATCGAAAGTAATAAATGTAAACAATGTCTTCAAAAGTCTTTTTTTCTGAACAAACTGCTAGCTCGCCCACGCGAACTATCACCACATTATCAGATAGAATAAATTTTCACTTTCCTGATGGTAGTGCTAGTTTGCGTGGGTGAGCTAGAAATCCCGGAAAATTTACATTCGTAGACATTGTTTATATTTCTCGACTACTTTTTCGAAGGGACGTATCAGTTTTTATTGACAATGCATTTGATCGTCGATTTGACGTAACTGGCAGCTTGCCAGCTTGGTATTGTCTCGTGCCAGTATAAACTGGAAATACGATCTAATTTGGGCATTAACTTTGGAGTGGCGAGAGAGAAATGTAAGTAGTAAAGTTTAAAGATTATTTCAAGTTTACTGATTTTAAAGTGCTCCCCAAAATCTGTCTATCATCGCGCTATATAGCAGACAATCCAAAGTCTCGGACACGATCGCGTGCGAAGGAAGTAGTCTGAATTGCCACCCAAACTGTTATCCCGGCAGGGATGAGGCTGTAGACGGAAGCAATGGCCTCAGCAACTACCCGGATTGTTGTAGTTCTATCGGAAGCGTAACTGAAAAGACAGTACAAGGCAACAGCAGTGGCTCAGATTGTAGTCCCAGCGGTGGAAAAGCTGTGGAGACAATTTTTGGTGAAAGCAGTCAGGACGCAACAGAGGAGCTGAACTGAATAGCCTCTTTTCGTGGTTTGAAAGCACGTAAGTCAATTCTAGACGAACATTTGAAAGGGGCGGAAGAGCCAAAATGTAAATAAACCATATTTTGGCACATATAAAGAGAACGGTTCACAAACTACTCGATAAACACGAAAAAGTAGAAGAAAATATCACTTCAAATCATCAAAAACGTTTCTTCTCACATGGCGTATTTCCAATTTTCAACTCGATTATGCAACTGGTTGTTACGCCTTGCACTAGAGCAACGAATTATATTGTTTTAATATGCCAAACGTATTGATTCTGTAGTATCTAGTCACGCCCGATTCATTTCAAACGCATCTGATTGATATTTTACGTGTAAACAACGAACAAAAAGAAGACCAAAAAATCTCCGGGCGTAATTCCACTCTCACAAAATTTGCGAACGAAGAACGTAGGCGGAACAACAAACAAAAAATCTCGAGGGTGTACTTCCACGGCGTATCACCAGTGTTGGCAGGGTAACAACACGTAAGAAATTATCAGGGCGTATGATGTTTTCTTCTCAATTTCACGACAAAGAAAGCTTTTTTATTTAGTTTTTAGTGATGCATGATGATAGATTACACTATTAACTATATGTTAAGCTTAAAAAATCATCCAGAAAATGGAAAGTCGTGAAATAGGATTAATTTTTAGATCATCAAAATTCGGAAGCGATTTTCTCGATATGGTAATTTTGGAGTTCCGCCCTTTTCAAATGTTAGTCTAGATTTGTTCTTTGACTCTCTCTCTCTCTATCCAGGTCGATGACGAAGACGATTCATTAGTGTATTCACCAGGCGTCCTGAAAAACCTGCTGAAAAAACAGTCAGTGTTTGGGACGAAAGCTGAAGAACTGGAGCTATCTACGGAGGGACAAAAATTCGTGACGGATGTCGTAGCTAAATACCACCTGTCAAGAAAATGCAAAACAACATCACAGCTAATGGAAGACTATGCCACTGTCATTGTGAAAGTTTTCAAAAGAGAGCAAAAGGTATTAACGATGTGAAAATATCACTAAAATGTGGGGGTTTTAATGATACTTGTTTTGCAGGACACGTATTATATTCCGAAGAAAGGAAACCCAGGCGGCAAGCTATACAGTCGAATCAACTATATTCGACAGGCCGACCGTAAGAGGATCAAGGAAGAAGACAATCGTCAGACGTTCTCAAAGATTCCTGAGACAACATTCGCTCCAGAAATCCTAAACGGCATTTCGTGGTTGCAATTGAACCGACTCCCATGGTCGAACGTTTTGTCCAGTGGGAAATTACTTTTCTCGACAGGAAAGCACTGTGACCAAAAGAAAATTCCAAATCTATTTAAGAAGTATGCAATATCAGTGCAAACGAGGCTGCGGACAAGCTGGCAGCAATCGGCAGATCGAAAACCCCAGTGGAACTGGAAGTCCCTGCAGCGGATTTAAAAATCTGGATCAAAACGAGCATCGCTTCGGCATGGGACAAGAAAAGGGCTAATACCCGAGACCCTTTCTTACGCAAAATAAAAGGAGATACGAAATGCTGGTCCGACACCAAAAACTGGAAGGACCAGAGAGTACTGTCCAGATTACGCTGCGGCTACACCAGATTCTCACACGATCTCGGATCCCGTGATGGATTCCACAAACAATGTATGGGGTGCTCAACCAAAATGTCATAATAAATTGCCCTGCACATCAAAACCTCCGAGACCAATACGGTATCGGTCTCAGCATCAGAGACGCATTATCCAATGACCCAGACAGGGAAAGATTACTTCTTGACTTCCTTAAAGACACAGGCTATTATCAATATACGTAGAACCCCGCAACGAACAATAACACGACAACGGACGAACGGCGGCACACATAAAGCAAAAAAAAAAATATATATTTAAGTACCCACATCTCAAAGACGGAATTTTGGAGAGTGTATTGTTGCTTACGGGAACGTTCACTATACGCTTGCGATCATTGTGAGAGTAATAGATGTTTATGTCAAACTGTTCGTAGTGCTCGGTCTGCCTCCTTCGAAGATATCCAAGCCGATCTGGCTTTTCATATTGAAATACGTTTACAGTTTTAATAAAACCTGCTAGTACGTGTCCATCTAAAACTTGATAAAGTTCATCGAATCATGCTCGTGAAGGTGCCGCCACACGGCGCATGATATTTATGTTATAGTTCTCTATGACATAGCCGATTTAGATTTCTATATCATAGTTCTATGAGATTTGGGAATCCATTATCAAAAACTATGAGCTATAACGTAATAGTACCTATGTAGTAGAAAACTATGAAGTAGTGCTATAAAATAGAATTTTCGAGTGTACACACGATTGAATTTTTGTGTATTTTTGTCCGCTTAATGATCCGGGCGCATCATAAAAAAAAAGAATTGCAGAAAGTAAAAATATTTGGGATTAGAGCTAATTGAGGACAAACTCTTATTGTAGGGTAATTTGAAGAGATAACTTCCTGGCAGTGCTGAGATTTGTTATTGTCGTTGACAGACTTTCGTGCGATATTGACAAAATTGATCCTCAATTGATTGATAGACATGATCCTCAAAAACCCCTTCGTCAAAATCTCATTCATTTTTTTGTCAATGACAAAGATTCACCTGGTAACCAATAGTGAGGTGAAGTGACAGTGAAGTGATGGTGAAGTGATAATTTTTACCTCGGATGAGGTGAGTCTCCGTGCAAATCAAATGGAGAGTGACTTCACCCGAGCTGACAATTGTCACCTCACCGGTGAAAGCATGTCACTCCACCTCACACGCCGTACAGAATAGGCCTACTAGGATCAGTTTCATGAATTGACCACTTTTACGGATGTTCCGGATCTTCCACAGGACCAGTCTTGTGACTTACCAGAAACTGACTCTTCCCAAAAGGTGGTCAACTATCTGCTTAACAATTTCATTAAAGATATCAGAAAGTTATCTCTACAAATTGACGAATTAATTCGAAGTTGTGACCGGAACATAGACCCTGGAGACCACGGAACGTCCGTAAAAGTGGTAATTTCATGTACTGATCCTCAACATCCACGGTTTTTTTCGACGCCTCTCATAGAAGTCTTATCATAATGTGGAGTTATGACCGGAATTTGGTCACTGGAAATCACGAGGTGCTCCACTAAAATATCCGAAACATCCGTAAAAGTGGTCAATTTATGAAACTGATCTTAGAGCTCCGCGTTTTTTTTCAAAACCACTCATAGACGCCTTATCAGAATTAATTCAAAATTGTGACCAGAATATAGACACTGGTGACCACGGGATGGACCACCGCAAAATTTAGAACATCCGTAAAAGTTGTCAATTCATGAAACTTATCCTAGAATTCTACGTTCGTTTCAAAGCCATTCATTGACATCTTATTAATATGAATTCGGAATTGTGATCGGAAAATTGACTCTTGGGTTCATGAAACACAAAACCACTCATTGGCATCTTATCAGAATCAATTTGGAGCTATGACAAGAAATTTTACCCTGGGGACCAATGCACAAAGGTCCCCAAGCCGTATTTAGGAAGACAAAAATATTTGCGCCCAAACCATCACTTTTAGGTTTATGGTGTCTTGTTGAAGATTTATTCGTATTTTTTGTCCAATCTTTTTATGTTACTGAAATTAGGGTGGTCCATAAAATTGGTGAATTGAAAATACAAACTTTTTTAATATTTGAGTTAGACCAATGTAGTGTTTTAAAAAGTTGTAGAACAATCAATTGCTTAAGACATCAAATGTCTATCTCTTATGGTTCATTACTTATGATTAATTTAAGCAAGCAGGTTAGGGTGCCCCTAGAAAATCGGCGAATATAATTTTAGAGGTTCGTAGAAGGTTTGTTTTAAATATTTTTATGACGCATATTTTTGCTGAAGCAACTTAGTTGATATCTTCTTTATTTGAAAAAGTTATGGCAAGATTTTAGTGAAAATTTTGACTTTTTAAAATTATTCGCTCTCACTGTTTTCTCACCAAATGAATAAAAACACGATCTTTCAAAAGAAATCAAAAGTTTGAAAATCGGTTTGCTCCTTTTAGAGATATTGACAGTTAAAAAAATAAATCGAAGAATATCTGCATTAACTTTCTAATAAAAAAAATAGCAACATGGTTGCGTCATCAATATGCGTCATCATAAGTTCTAAATGTGTCCAAAACAACGTTTTTACGAGAAATGAACGTATGAAAAGTTATTCAACTAAATCTGTTTTTTAGAGGACACCCTAACCAGATTGTTAAAAAAAATTAACTCATGAACCATAAGAGATATAAATTTGGTGTATTTAACAAAAATC